AGGGAACTGGGACAGGGACATGGGACAAGAACAGGGACAAGGAACTGGTACAGGGAGCTGGGACAAGGATAGGGAGCTGGGACAGGGAGCTGGGACAGGGACAAGGAACTGGGACAGGGAGCTGGGATAGGGACAGGGACAAGGACAAGGACATGGGACAGAGCTGGGACAGGGACAAGGAACTGGGACAGGGAGCTGGGACAGGAACAGGGACAAGGAACAGGGAGCAGGGACAGGCACAGGGAGCTGGGACAGGAACAGGCACAGGGAGCTGGTCCGGGCAGGGCCGTGTTGGCACCTCAGGGTCTCCCCCCCGTGTCCCCCCTGCCTGGTGACCCCCTCGTGTCCCCCGCTCCCCCCTCCAGAGGCCCCGAGGAATAACCGGGAATAACCGGGAACAACGGGGAATAACCAGGAATAACCAGGAACAACCGGGAATAACCAGGAACAGGGGCGGGAAAGGGGCCACCTGAGCCACCTCGGCCGCTCCGGGGGGCTCTGAGGTCTCCCCCGGGAAGGAATTCCCACATTCCCGGGGCTCGGCCCCCCCCTCCCCACGCGGGACACGCTCGTGGGCGCGGCCCCAGCTCAGGTGTTCGCATTCCAGCCGGGATTGGGCCGGGAGAGCCAAACCTGCCCTTGTTTGGGCAAAAAATTCCAGCGGCTCCTCCTCCCTGCGGAGGTGGGGGCGGATCCAGGGGCTGCTCCTCCTTCCCGCATGGATCCAGAGGCTCCTCCTCCATCCTGGGTGGATCCAGGGGCTCCTCCTCCTTCCTGGGTGGATCCAGGGGCTGTTCCTCCTCCTTCCTGGGATGGATCCATGAGCTGTTCCTCCTTCCTGGGTGGATCCATGAGCTGTTCCTCCTTCCTGGGTGGATCCAGGGGCTCCTCCTCCTCCCTGGAGAGTTGGGATGGATCCAGGGGCTCCTCCTCCTTCCTGGGTGGATCCAAGAGCTTCTCCTCATCCCTGGATGGATCCAGGGGCTCCTCCTCATCCCTGGAGGGATCCATGAGGCTCCTCCTCATCCCTGGATGGATCCATGAGCTCCTCCTCATCCCTGGATGGATCCATGAGCTCCTCCTCATCCAGGGATGGATCCAGAGGCTCCTCCTTGGAAATTTGGGATGGATCCCTGGCTCTTCCCCTCCTCCCTCACCTGGCCTGGACCACATTCCAGGTGTTTGGGTTTTTTTTTGGATCTCCCAGAGGGATTTGGGGACCCCCAGGGTGGGGCTGGAGCGTTTTAATTGGGAAAAATTAAATTATCTGGAATATTTTGTTGGGAAAATGAAATTATCTGGAGTATTTAATTAGGTAAATGAAATTATCTGGAGTAGTTTAATTAGGAAAACTGAATTATCTGGAGTGTTTTAATTAGGAAATCTAAAATATTTGGAGCATTTAATTAGGAAAACTGAATTATCTGGAGTAGTTTAATTAGGAAAACTGAATTATCTGGAGTGTTTTAATTAGGAAAACTGAATTATCTGGAGGATTTTAATCAGGAAAATTAAATTACCTCGATTATTTAATTAAGTAAATGAAATTATCTGGAGTATTTTAATTGGGGAAAATAAATTATCTGGAGTGTTTAATTAGGAAAACTGAATTATCTGGAATATTTAATTAGGAAAAATTGAATTATCTGGAGTATTTTAATCAGGAAAATTAAATTATCAGGAGTATTTTAATTAGGAAAACTAAATGATCTGGAGTATTTTAATTAGGAAAACTGAAATATCTGGGATATTTTAATTAGGAAAACTAAATTACCTCGAGTATTTAATTATCCCCCTTGGCATCTCCTGCCCGCCAGGGGGCGCCCCGAGCCCGCCCCTGGAATTCCGGGATTCTGGGAATTCGGGAGTCGCTTCCTTGCCCTGGATCCCCCCAAACCGCTCCCACCCTTTCCAAAAATCCCTTTTTTTTGTCCCACAAACCCCGAGATTTTCCATCAAAACCTCCCTGGAATTCGGGATCCTTCGGGATTTTTAGGAATTCCTTTTCCAGGAGGGAATTTTGAGCCCTGTGTTTGTTTCCAGGAGGGAATTCCGAGCCCTTTCCAGGAGGGAATTCAGGGCCTTTTCCAGGAGGGAATTCCAAGCCCTGTGTCCTTTCCAAGAGGGAATTCTGAGCCCTTTCCAGGAGGGAATTCCAAGCCCTGTGTCCTTTTCCAGGAGAAAATTCCAGGTCCTGTGTCCCTTTCCAAGAGGGAATTCCAAGCCCTTTCCAGGAAGGAATTCAGGGCCTTTTCCAGGAGGGAATTCAGGGCCTTTTCCAGGAGAAAATTCCAAGCCCTGTGTCCCTTTCCAAGAGGGAATTCCAGGGTCTTTTCCAGGAGGGAATTCCAAGCCCTGTGTCCCTTTCCAAGAGGGAATTCCGAGCCCTTTCCAGGAGGGAATTCGGGGCCTTTTCCAGTAGAAAATTCCAAGCCCTGTGTCCCTTTCCAGGAGGGAATTCCGAGCCCTTTCCAGGAGGGAATTCCAAACCCATTCCAGTAGGGAATTCAGGGCCTTTTCCAGGAGGGAATTCCAAGCCCTTTCCAGGATGGAATTCTCAGCCCTGTGTCCTTTTCCAGGAGGGAATTCCAAGCCCTTTCCAGGAGGGAATTCCCTGGAGCCCCCAAATTCCCGGTCCTGGCAGGTTAGGAAATCCCAGTTTGGAATTCTCCCAAATTTGGATCCTCCAGGACCTCTGGGAAAATTTGGGAATGCTCAGGATCTCCTGGGAAAGGCCTGAGATCCCAAAATCCCTGGGATTGGGAGAGAATCGGGAGAAAAGCACCGGACACGGCGGATTTTGGGATAGAATTTTATTGGGAAGAGCCTCGAGGAACAGGAGATGTGGGAAGAGGATTCCAGTGGGAACAGGAATTCCAGTGGGAACAGGGATTCCAATGGGAACAGGGATTCCAGTGGGAACAGGAACTGTGGGAATGTGGGCTGGAAATCTGGGAATTCCAAGCGTTGGGATCTCCCAGGGAAGTCCCTCAGGGGAAGGAGGAGCTGTGATCCCAAATCCCTGAGATCCCAAATCCCTGAGATCCCAAATCCTTGAGATCCCAAATCTCTGTGATCCCAAATCCCTGTGATCCCAAATCCCTGAGATCCCAAATCCCTGTGATCCCAAATCCCTGTGATCCCAAATCCCTTTGATCCCAAATCCCTGAGATCCCAAATCCCTCTGATCCCAAATCCCTGAGATCCCAAAACCCTGAGATCCCAAACCCCTGAGATCCCAAATCCCTGAGATCCCAAATCCCTGAGATCCCAAATCCCTGAGATCCCAAATCCTTGAGATCCCAAAGGTTCCTCTATGATCCCAAATCCCTGAGATTCCAAATCCCCGAGATCCCAAATCCCTGTGATCCCAAATCTCTGTGATCCCAAATCCTCGTGATCCCAAATCCTCGTGATCCCAAATCCCTGAGATTCCAAATCCCTGAGATCCCAAATCCCTGTGATCCCAAATCCCTCTGATCCCAAAGGACCCCTCTGTGATCCCAAATCCCTGAGATCCTAAAACCCTGAGATCCCAAATCCCCAAGATCCCAAAGGCTCCTCTGTGATCCCAAATCCCCAAGATCCCAAATCCCTGAGATCCCAAATCCTCGTGATCCCAAAGGGCCCCTCTGTGATCCCAAATCCCTCTGATCCCAAATCTCTGTGATCCCAAATCCCTGAGATCCCAAATCTCTGTGATCCCAAATCCCTTTGATTCCAAATCCCTGAGATCCCAAATCCCTTTGATCCCAAATTCCTGTGATCCCAAATCTCTGTGATCCCAAATCCCTGAGATCCCAAATCCCCAAGATCCCAAACCCCTGAGATCCCAAATCCCTGAGATCCCAAATCCCTGAGATCCCAAATCCCTGAGATCCCAAATCCCTTTGATCCCAAATCCCTGAGATCCCAAATCCCTCTGATCCCAAATCCCTGTGATCCCAAATCCCTTTGATCCGAAATCCCTGAGATCCCAAATCCCTCTGATCCCAAATCCCTGTGATCCCAAATCCCCAAGATCCCAAACCCCTGAGATCCCAAATCCCCAAGATCCGAAATCCCTGAGATCCCAAATCCCTGAGATCCCAAATCCTTGAGATTCCAAATCCCCAAGATCCCAAATCCTGAGATCCCAAATCCTCTGAGATCTCCAAATCCCTGAGATCCCAAATCCCTCTGATCCCAAATCCTTGAAATCCCAAATCCCTCTGATCCCAAATCCCTGTGATCCCAAATCCCCATGATCCCAAATCCCTGAGATCCCAAATCCCTTTGATTCCAAATCCCTGAGATCCCAAATCCTTGAGATCCCAAACCCCTGAGATCCCAAATCCTTGAGATCCCAAATCCCTGTGATCCCAAAGTTTTTTTTCCCGACATTCCTGCTGAATGGGGAGGGAAATCCCAATATCCCGATTTTTTTGGATGGTTTGGGGGGTGGGAAAGCCTGGAAAAAGGATCAGGATTGGGAATATCCAAGCTGGGAGGGATTTTCAGCTCTGGAGGGAAAGGGATGAAGGGAATGGGGATGGGAATGGGAATGGGAATGGGGATGGGAATGGAAATGGGAGTGGGAGTGGGAATGGGAATGGGAATGGGGATGGGAGTGGGATGGGAATGGGAATGGAATGGGAATGGAGTGGGAATGGGAATGGGGATGGGAATTGGATGGGAATGGGATGGGAATGGGATGGGAATGGAAGTGGGAATGGGAATGGGAATGGGATGGGAATGGGAGTGGGATTTGGGATGGGAATGGGGATGGGAATGGGATGGGAATGGGGATGGGAATGGGAGTGGGAATGGGAATGGGAATGGGATCTGCTGGATTGGGAGGGGAGGGACAAGGAGAGCCTGGAGCGAATCCCTGTGGGATCCTCATCCCTCTGGAAAGCTGGGATGTGGCACCAGGCGCTTCCCAGGTGTTTTCCAGGTGCTCCCTGGCACATTCCAGGTTTTTCCAGGTGGGTTTCCAGGTCTTTCCAGGTCCATTCCAGGTGATTTCCAGGTCCATTCCAGGCATTCCCAGGTCCATTCCAGGCATTCCCAGGATCTCTATTCCCATTCCAGAGCTTCCCAGGTGGGATCCCCCCCCCCTTTCCCGTGGGATTGGGGGGTGGGGGGGTCACTGCTCCCCCCCCTCGGCTTCCCGAGCCAAAATCCTGGAATTCCAGCGGGTGCCGGCGGGAACTGCCGGGAAAGGACATGGAAAGGACATGGAAAGGACATGGGAATGGGAATGTTGGGAATGATCCCGCTCTGGATGTGATTCCAGAGGGTCTGGAAGGAGGGATTTGGGGGGGGTTGGGAGCACTTACGGGGCCGGGGCCGGGAGTGGACGGCGCTGATGACGGCGGGGATGGGGTGGTCCCTGGGGAGGAGGGGATATGGGTCAGGGAACAGCTGGAAAACAGCTGGAAAACAGCTGGAGAACCTCCAGGAACATCCAGGAACATCCAGAGGGGCTCTGGGAGCAGCTGGGGAACACCTGGAGAACCTCCAGGAACCTCCAGGAATCTCCAGGAATCTCCAGGAATCTCCAGAGGGGCCCTAGAAGCAGCTGGAGAACAGCTGGAAAAACCTCCAGGAGCCTCTGAGGGGGCTCTGGGAACAGCTGGAGAACACCCAGGAACCTCCAGGAACCTCCAGGAACATCCAGAGGGGCTCTGGGAACAGCTGGAGAACCTCCAGGAACCTCCAGGAATCTCCAGAGGGGCCCTGGGAACAGCTGGAGAACAGCTGGAGAACCTCCAGGAACATCCAGGAACATCCAGGAACCTCCAGAGGGGCCCTGGGAACAGCTGGAGAACAGCTGGAGAACCTCCAGGAACATCCAGGAACATCCAGGAACCTCCAGAGGGGCTCTGGGAACAACTGGAGAACCTCCAGGAACATCCAGGGACCTCCAGGAACCCCTAGGGGGGCTCTGGGAGCAGCTGCAGAACAGCTGGAAAAACCTCCAGGAACCTCCAGGAACTTCCAGAGGGGCTCTGGGAACAACTGGAGAACCTCCAGGAACCTCTGGGAACCTCCAGGAACCTCTGAGGGGTTCTGGGAACAGCTGGGGAACAGCTGGAGAACCTCCAGGAACCTCCAGGAATCTCTGGAGGGGCTCTGGGAGAAGCTGGAGAAAACCCAGGAACCTCCAGGAACCTCCAGGAACATCCAGGAATCTCCAGAGGGGTCCTGGGAACAGCTGGGGAACACCCAGGAACCTCCAGGAACATCCAGAGGGGCTCTGGGAACACCTGGAGAACCTCCAGGAACCCCTAGGGGGGCTCTGGGAGAGGCTGGAGAACACCTGGAGAACCTCCAGGAACCTCCAGGAACCTCCAGGAACCTCTGAGGGGGTTCTGGGAACAGCTGGAGAACAGCTGGAGAACCTCCAGGAACCTCCAGGAATCTCCAGGAATCTCCAGGAGTCTCCAGAGGGGCCCTGGGAACAGCTGGGGAACACCCAGAGAGCACCTGGAGAACTTCCAGGGAACATCCCGAGAGGTTCTGGAGAACATCTGGAGACCAAGAATATCTGGAGAACACCTGGAGAACACCTGTCAAACCTCTGGGGGGTTCTGGGGAACACCTGGAGACCAAAAACATCTGGAGAACTGTAAAACCTCTGGGAGAGTTCTGGAGAACACCTGGGGAACATCTGGAGGAATTCTGGGGAACTTCTGGAGGAATCCTGGGGAACATCTGGAAAAGTTTTTGGGGAAGTCCTGGGGAACATCTGGAGAGGTTTTGGGGAAATTCTGGGGAACATCTGGAGAAGTTTGGGGGTAGTTCTGGGGAACATCTGGAGAAGATTTGGGGAACATCTGGAGAAGTTTTTGGGGAAGTCCTGGGGAACATCTGGAGAAGTTTTGGGGAAATTCTGGAGAACAACTGTGGAAGAGTCCTGGGGAACATCTGGAGAGGTTTTGGGGAAATCCTGGGGAACATCTGGAGAGGTTTTGGGGAAGTCCTGGGGAACATCTGGAGAAGTTCTGGGGAAGTCCTGGGGAACATCTGGAGAGGTTTGGGGGTAGTTCTGGGGAACATCTGGAGAAGTTTTGGGGAACATCTGGAGAAGTTTTGGAGAAGTCCTGGGGAACATCTGGAGGATCCCAGGAATCCTCAGCCCGGGCAAAGGTCGGGAATGGGACCGACCTGGCGGGATTTGTCCTTCCCTTGGCCCAAACCCCGACCCAGAACTCGGGATTTGGGCATCCTGGAATTGACCTGGCAGGAGCTGGTCCCTCCCTCCCCATCCCAGTTCTCCCAGTGCTCCCAGTTCTCCCAGTTCTCCCAGCTCACCTGCTCTCCTCGCCCTCCACCAGCTTCCTGTAGGCCAGGATCTCCACGTCCAGGGCCAGCTTGAGGTCCATCAGCTCCTGGTGCTCCTTGACCAGCTGGGCCAGGCGCTCCCTGGAGCCCTGCAGGGCCTCCTGCAGCCCCCCCAGCTTGGCCCGGGCGTCCCTCAGGGCCAGAGTCCCCCTGCTCGGCCACCTGCTGGATGAGCTGCTCCAGGAACAGGCACTGGAACAACGGGAATGGTGGATTGGAGCAGGGAATTCCATCCCAGGACACCCCCAGGGCTGAATCCCCCTGCTGGATGAGCTGCTCCAGGAACAGGCACTGGAAAGGTGGGAATGGAGGATTGGAACAGGGAATTCCATCCCAGGACATCCCAGGACATCCCAGGTCATCCCAGGACACTCCAGAAACATCCCAGGACACCCCAGGACATCCCAGGACACCCCAGGACATCCCAGATCATCCCAGGACATCCCAGGACATCCCAGAACATCCCAGGACACCCCCAGGGCTGAATCCCCCTGCTGGATGTGCTGCTCCAGGAACAGGCACTGGAACAACGGGAATGGCGGATTGGAGCAGGGAATTCCATCCCAGGACATCCCAGGACATCCCAGGAACACCCCAGGACATCCCAGGACACCCCCAGGACCGAATCCCCCTGCTGGATGTGCTGCTCCAGGAACAGGCACTGGAACAAGTGGGAATGGAGGATTGGAGCAGGGAATTCCATCCCAGGACATCCCCAGGGCTGAATCCCCCTGCTGGATGTGCTGCTCCAGGAACAGGCACTGGAAAGGTGGGAATGGCAGATTGGAGCAGGGAATTCCATCCCAGGACACCCCCAGGTCACCCCCAGGGCCGTGTCCCCCTCTCCAGGACATCCCAGGACATCCCAGGATACCCCAGGACATCCCAGGACATCCCAGGGCTGAATCCCCCTGCTGGATGAGCTGCTCCAGGAACAGGCACTGGAACAACGGGAATGGCAGATTGGAGGGGGAATTCCATCCCAGGACACCCCAGGACATCCCAGGAACATCCCAGGACACCCCAGGATACCCCAGGACACCCCAGGACATTCCAGGACATCCCAGGACACCCCCAGGGCTGAATCCCCCTGCTGGATGAGCTGCTCCAGGAACAGGCACTGGAAAGGTGGGAATGGCAGATTGGAGCAGGGAATTCCATCCCAGGACACCCCCAGGTCACCCCCAGGGCCGTGTCCCCCTCTCCAGGACATCCCAGGACATCCCAGGACATTCCAGGTCACCCCAGAACATCCCAGGACACCCCCAGGGCTGAGTCCCCCTGCTGGATGTGCTGCTTCAGGAACAGGCACTGGAATAACGGGAATGGGGGGCAATTCCATGCCTGCAGGGGTGATCTCCATCCTAGGACGCCCCAGGACATTCCAGGACATCCCAGGATATCCCAGGAACATCCCAGGATATCCCAGGGCCGAGTCCCCCTCTCCAGGACCACCCCCCAGACCCCCCATTCCCACCTGGCTCCATTGGGACAATTCCCAGGCTGTTTTCCCATCCCAAATTCCCACTGGGACACAATTCCCAGGATATTTTCCCATCCCAGATTCCCACTGGGACACAATTCCCAGGATATTTTCCCATCCCAGATTCCCACTGGGACACAATTCCCAGGCTGTTTTCCCATCCCAAATTCCCACCTGGCTCCATTGGAACAATTCCCAGGCTGTTTTCCCATCCCAAATTCCCACTGGGACACAATTCCCAGGATGTTTTCCCATCCCAGATTCCCACTGGGACACAATTCCCAGGATATTTTCCCATCCCAAATTCCCACTGGGACACAATTCCCAGGCCATTTCCCATCCCAAATTCCCACTGGGACACAATTCCCAGGCTGTTTTCCCATCCCAAATTCCCACTGGGACACAATTCCCAGGCTGTTTCCCATCCCAGATTCCCACTGGGACACAATTCCCAGGATATTTTTCCATCCCAGATTCCCACTGGGACACCATTCCCAGTCCATTTCCCATCCCAGATTCCCACTGGGACACAATTCCCAGGATATTTTCCCATCCCAAATTCCCACTGGGACACAATTCCCAGGCCATTTCCCATCCCAAATTCCCACTGGGACACAATTCCCAGGTCATTTTCCCATCCCAAATTCCCACCTGGTTCCATTGGAACAATTCCCAGGCCGTTTTCCATCCCAAATTCCCACTGGGACACAATTCCCAGGCTGTTTTCCCATCCCAAATTCCCACTGGGACACAATTCCCAGGATATTTTCCCATCCCAGATTCCCACCTGGCTCCATTGGAACAATTCCCAGGCTGTTTTCCATCCCAAATTCCCACTGGGACACAATTCCCAGGATATTTTCCCATCCCAGATTCCCACCTGGCTCCATTGGAACAATTCCCAGGCTGTTTTCCATCCCAAATTCCCACTGGGACACAATTCCCAGGATATTTTCCCATCCCAGATTCCCACTGGGACACAATTCCCAGGCCATTTTCCCATCCCAAATTCCCACCTGGTTCCACTGGGACACAATTCCCAGGCTGTTTTCCCATCCCAAATTCCCACTGGGACACAATTCCCAGGCTGTTTTCCCATCCCAAATTCCCACTGGGACACAATTCCCAGGCTGTTTTCCTATCCCAAATTCCCACTGGGACACAATTCCCAGGCTGTTTTCCCATCCCAAATTCCCACTGGGACACAATTCCCAGGACATTTTTCCCACTGGGACAAAATTCCCAGGATATTTTCCCATCCAAATTCCCACTGGGACACAATTCCCAGTCCATTTTCCCATCCCAAATTCCCACTGGGACACAATTCCCAGTCCATTTTCCCATCCCAAATTCCCACTGGGACACAATTCCCAGGCCATTTTCCCATCCCAAATTCCCACCTGGGTCCATTGGAACAATTCCCAGGATATTTTCCCATCCCAGATTCCCACTGGGACACAATTCCCAGGCTGTTTTCCCATCCCAGATTCCCACTGGGACGCAATTCCCAGGATATTTTCCCATCCCAAATTCCCACTGGGACACCATTCCCAGTCCATTTCCCATCCCAAATTCCCACTGGGACACAATTCCCAGGCTGTTTTCCATCCCAAATTCCCACTGGGAAACAATTCCAGGCCGTTTCCCATCCCAGATTCCCACCTGGCTCCGTTGGGAGACGATTCCCGAGCGCAGTTTCTGGATCTGGATGTTCAGCTCCGCCATTTCCCTCCTCCCATCCAGGAGGTGCCCCCCGAAATTCCCGGCCTGGGATCCGCCCTCGCTCAGCTGGGGGGGGGAAAAATGGGAAAAGGGGGGGATGGGAGGTGATCCCAGTCCTTCCCAGTCTATCCCAGTCCTTCCCAGTCTATCCCAGTCCTTCCCAGTCTATTCCAGTCCTTCCCAGTCCTTCCCAGTCCATCCCAGTCTATCCCAGCCTTTCCCAGTCTATCCCAGCCCTTCCCAGTCTATCCCAGCCCTTCCCAGTCTATCCCAGCACTTCCCAGTCTATTCCAGCCCTTCCCAGTCTATCCCAGCCCTTCCCATCCCTTCCCAGTCTATCCCAGCCCTTCCCAGTCTATCCCAGCACTTTCAGTCTATCCCAGCCCTTCCCAGTCCACTCCCAGCCCTTCCCAGTCTATTCCAGTCCTTCCCAGTCTATCCCAGCCCTTCCCAGTCTATCCCAGTCTATCCCAGTCCTTCCCAGTCTATCCCAGTCCTTCCCAGCCCTTCCCAGTCCTTCCCAGTCTATCCCAGTCCTATCCCAGCCCTTCCCATCCTCTCCCAGTCCTTCCCAGTCTATCCCAGCCCTTCCCAGTCTATCCCAGCCCATCCCAGTCCATCCCATTGTGCTCCCAGTCTATCCCAGTCTATCCCAGTTCACCTTCCTCCTGGCCAGTGCCTCAACCTCGTCCCATGCTCTCCGGGCCAGCCCCTCGTACTGGGCCCTTCCTGGTGTATCCCAGTCCATTCCAGTGCCTCCCAGTGCACTTCCAGTCTATCCCAGTGCCTCCCAGTGCCTCCCAGTTCACCTTCCTCCTGGCCAGTGCCTCGGCCTCGTCCCAGGCTCTCCGGGCCAGTCCCTCGTACTGGGCCCTTCCCATCCACTCCCAGCCCTTCCCAGTCTATCCCAGTCCATCCCAGTGCCTCCCAGTGCCTCCCAGTCCATCCCATTGTGCTCCCAGTCTATCCCAGTGCCTCCCAGTCTATCCCAGTTCACCTTCCTCCTGGCCAGTGCCTCGGCCTCGTCCCAGGCTCTCCGGGCCAGTCCCTCGTACTGGGCCCTTCCCATCCACTCCCAGCCCTTCCCAGTCTATCCCAGTCTATCCCAGTCTATCCCAGTCCATCCCAGTCTATCCCAGTGTACTCCCAGTTTATCCCAGTCTATCCCAGTTCACCTTCCTCCTGGCCAGTGCCTCGGCCTCGTCCCAGGCTCTCCGGGCCAGTCCCTCGTACTGGGCCCTTCCCATCCACTCCCAGCCCTTCTCAGTCCATCCCAGTCCATCCCAGTGCCTCCCAGTCCATCCCAGTGCCTCCCAGTCCCTCCCAGTTCACCTTCCTCCTGGCCAGTGCCTCAGCCTCGTCCCATGCTCTCCGGGCCAGTCCCTCGTACTGGGCCCTTCCTGGTGTATCCCAGTCCATTCCAGTGCCTCCCAGTCCATCCCAGCCCTTCCCAGTCTATCCCAGTGTATTCCTGGTGCCTCCCAGTGCCTCCCAGTGCCTCCCAGTTCACCTTCCTCCTGGCCAGTGCCTCGTCCTCGTCCCAGTCTGCTCCCAGCCCTTCCCAGTGTATCCCAGTCCATTCCAGTGTATCCCAGCCCTTCCTGGTTTATCCCAGTCCATCCCACTGTGCTCCCAGTGCCTCCCAGTCTATCCCAGTCTATCCCAGTCCATCCCAGTTCACCTTCCTCCTGGCCAGTGCCTCTGCCTCGTCCCATGCTCTCCGGGCCAGCCCCTCGTACTGAGCCCTTCCCGGTGTATCCCAGTGCCTCCCAGTCCATCCCAGTGCCTCCCAGTGCCTCCCAGTCCATCCCAGTCTATCCCAGTGCACTCCCAGTTTATCCCAGTCTATCCCAGTTCACCTTCCTCCTGGCCAGTGCCTCTGCCTCGTCCCATGCTCTCCGGGCCAGTCCCTCGTACTGGGCCCGCACGTCCCGCACGAGCCGCTCCAGATCCCGGCGGGACCCGCCCGGAATTCCCAAATCCACAGAGATGGCCCCGATGTCCGAGAGCAGATCCTGCAGCTCCTGGAACGGGGATGGGAATGGGATGGGGATGGGGATGGGAATGGGGGTGGGAATGGGGGTGGGAATGGGAATGGGAAAGGGAATGGGGATGGGGATGGGAGTGGGGATGGGAATGGGGATGGGAATGGGATGGGAATGGGGGTGGGGATGGGAATGGGGATGGGAATGGGATGGGAATGGGATGGGAATGGGGATGGGGATGGGGATGGGAATGGGGGTGGGAATGGGGATGGGGATGGGGATGGGAAAGGGGGTGGAATGGGGATGGGAAAGGGAATGGAGAAGGGAATGGGGCAGGGAATGGGGATGGGGATGGGGATGGGAATGGGAATGGGCAGGGAATGGGAATGGGAATGGGAAAGGGAATGGAGAAGGGAATGAGGATGGGAATGGGGATGGGAATGGGCAGGGAATGGGACGATGGGAATGGGAGATGGGGCAGGGATGGGGAATGGGATAGGAATGGGGATGGGATGGGAATGAGGGATGGGAATGGGGATGGGATGGGGATGGGGATGGGAGGATGGGGATGGAATGGGGAGGGAATGGGGAAGGGAATGGGGATGGGATGATGGGATGGGGATGGGAATGGGGATGGGATGGGAATGGGGGGGGATGGGGATGGGGATGGGGAATGGAGGATGATGGATGGGAATGGGAAATAGGGATGGAGAAGGGAATGGGGATGGGAAATGGGGATGGAGAAGGGAATGGGGATGGGAATGGGGATGGGAATGGGGATGGGAATGGGGATGGGGGTGGGGATGGGAAAGGAAATGGAGAAGGGAATGGGGACAGGGAGCAGGGAATGGGGCAGGGAATGGGAAATGGGGATGGGAAATCAGATGGGAATGGGGATGGGAATGGGGCAGGGAATGGAGAAGGGAATAGGAAAGGGAATGGGGATGGGAGTTGGACAGGGAAGGGGCCATGGAATGGGATAGGGAATGGAGAAGGGAATGGAGAAGGGAATGGGGCAGGGAATGGGGGCAGCGTGGGATGGCTTGGGTGGGAAGGGCCTTAAATCCCATCCCATCCCATCCCCTCCCATCCCATCCCTGTATCCCATCCCACCCCATCCCATCCCTTCCCATCAATCCCATCCCATCCCATCCCCTCCCATCAATCCCATCCCATCCCATCCCATCCCATCCCATCCCATCCCATCCCATCCCATCCCATCCCATCCCATCCCCTCCCATCAATCCCATCAATCCCATCCCATCCCATCCCATCAATCCCATCCCATCCCATCCCATCCCATCCCATCCCATCCCATCCCATCAATCCCATCCCATCCCATCCCATCAATCCCATCCATCCCATCCCATTTTCCCTGGATATCCCCCCTGGAATCCCGGGGGGGTCTCACCCTCTCGTAAATGGTTTTCTTGAGCTCCAGCAGCTCCTGGAGCCCCTTGAGCTTCACCTGCAGCTCCGTGCGGTGCAGGGTGCTGACATCCAGATCCTGCGGGATTGGGAATGCTTGGGAAGGGTTGGGAAGGGTTGGGAAGGGTTGGGAAGGGTTGGGAAGGGTTGGGAATGTGAGGGGAGGGGAGGGAGGGGAGGGAATGTGAGGGAAGGTTTGGGAAGGTTTGGGAAGGTTTGGGAAGGGAAGGTTTGGGAAGGGAAGGGAAGGGAAGGGAAGGGAAGGGAGGGAAGGGAAGGGAAGGGAAGGGAAGGGAAGGAAGGGAAGGTTTGGGAAGGGAAGGTTTGGGAAGGGAAGGGAAGGGAAGGGAAGGGAAGGGAAGGGAAGGAAGGGAAGGAAGGGAAGGGAAGGTTTGGGAAGGGAAGGTTTGGGAAGGTTTGGAAGGGAAGGTTTGGGAAGGTTTGGGAAGGTTTGGGAAGGTTTGGGAAGGTTTGGGAAGGGAAGGTTTGGGAAGGTTTGGGAAGGGAAGGTTTGGGAAGGTTTGGGAAGGTTTGGGAAGGTTTGGGAAGGTTTGGGAAGGGAAGGGAAGGGAAGGGAAGGGAAGGGAAGGGAAGGAAGGGAAGGGAAGGGAAGGGAAGGGAAGGGAAGGGAAGGGAATGTCCTAAATTTCTCTTTCCCAGCCCATTCCAGGCAGGATTTTTCCCCTCTCCGACCTTTTTGAGCTCCATGAAGGTGAATTCCATCCCACTGCAGAGCCGGATTTCATCCTCATACCTAAAAAAAGGGGGAAAAAGAAAAAAATCCCAAATCATCCACAGGGAAAACCCCCAGGAAAGGTTCAGGTGGGTCTGGATCCCAAAATTTATCCCAAGTTCCTGCTGTTTCCTTCCCTCTCCCATTTACCAGGAAGAGTCTGGGATCCCAAATTCCCAAACCCACCCTTCCAAACTGGGAATCACAGCCTGGATCCCCCCTTCTCCCTGTGCCCCAAAAATCCCTGGAATTCCATTTCCATGAGTTTCCTTCCCTCTCCCATTTACCAGGAAGAGTCTGAGATCCCAAATTCCCAACCCCACAGTTCCAAACCAGGAATTTCTCCTTTGGATTCACAGCCTGGAGCCTCCCAACCAATCCCCCTTCTCCCTGTGCTCCTGAAATCCTTGGAATTCCACTGTGATGGATTTCCTCTCATCCCTCATTTACCAGGAAGAGTCTGAGATCCCAAATTCCCAAACCCACCCTTCCCAACCGGGAATCACAGCCTTGGAATTCCATTTCCATGGGTTTCTTTTCCTCTCCCATTTACCAGGAGGAGTCTGGGATCCCAAATTCCCAACCCCACCCTTCCAAACTGGGAATCACAGCCTGGATCCCACCCTCTCCCTGTGTGCCAAAAATCCCTGGAATTCCATTTCCATGAGTTTCTTTCCCTCTCCCATTTACCAGGAGGAGTCTGGGATCCCAAATTCCCAACCCCACCCTTCCCAACCTGGAATCACAGCCTGGAGCCATCCAACTCATCCCACCCTTCTCCCTGTGCTCCTGAAATCCTTGGAATTCCACTTTGATGGATTTCCTCTCATCCCTCATTAACCAGGAAGGAGCTGGGATCCCAAATTCCCAACCCCACCCTTCCAAACTGGGAATCACAGCCTGGATCCCACCCTCTCCCTCTGTGCCAAAAATCCCTGGAATTCCATTTCCATGACTTTCTTTCCCTCTCCCATTTACCTGGAAGAGTCTGGGATCCCAAATTCCCAACCCCACCCTTCCAAACCGGGAATTCCTCCTTGGGAATCCCCACCTGGAGCCTCCCAACCCCCTCCCTCCCCCTCTGGAATTTTCCCGGGATCCGGCTCCATCACCCACTTGCTCCGGAATGCATCCATGGATCCCAGGACCTTTTCCAGCTCCCTCTCCAGGTTTTCCTGCTGGGAGCTCAGGGCCTTCCTCTCCCGGCCCATCCTGGCCATGAATTCCTCGTAGACTTCCCGCGCCTCCGGCTCCGAGCGGGAATTCTCCTGCTCCGTCAGGAAGCGCCAGCGCGTGCTCAGCACCCGGTTCTGCCGCTCCAGGGACTGCACCTGAGCCGGGAATGGGAGTGGGAATGGGGTGAGGGTGGGGATGGGAATGGGAATGGGAGTGGGAATGGGAATGGGAGTGGGAATGGGAGTGGGAATGGAGGTGGGAGTGGGAATGGGAATGGGAATGGGAGTGGGGATGGGGATGGGAATGGAGATGGGAATGGAGATGGGAATGGGGTGGAATTGGATGGGATGGGAGTGGGAAGGGAATGGGCGAGTGGGAATGGGAATGGGGGTGGGAATGGGAGTGGGGATGGGAATGGGAATGCGTGGGAATGGGGGTGGGGTGGGAATAGGAGTGGGAATGGGAATGGGGATGGGAGTGGGAATGGGAATGGGAATGGGGATGGGAATGGGATGGGGATGGGGATGGGAATGGGGATGGGAACAGAATGGGAATGGGAGGGAATGGGGGTGGGAATGGGAACAGGAATGGGGTGGGAATGGGAATGGAGGTGGGAATGGGAATGGGAATGGGGTGGGAATGAGGGTGAGTGGGGATGGGAATGGGAATGGAAACAGGAATGGGAGTGGGGATGGGGTGGGAATGGGAATGGGGATGGGAATGGGGATGGGAATGAGGGTGGGAGTGGGAACAGGAACGAACGGGAATAGGAATGGGAATGGGAATGGCAATGGGAATGGGGTGGGAATGTGAGTGGGAATGGGATGGGATGGGAGTGGGAATGGGAATGGGAATGGAGTGGGATGGGAATGGGGTGGAAATGGAGGTGGGAATGGGAATGGGGATGGGAATGGGAATGGGAATGGGAATGGGGATGGGAATGGGAATGGGGTGGGGATGGGAGTGGGAACAAAATGGGAATGGGAATGGGAATAGGAATGGGATGGGAATGCGGTGGGAATGGGAATAGGAATGGGAATGGGAATGGGGTGGGAATGGGGATGGGAGTGGGAATGGGATGGGATGGGAATGGGAGTGGGAGGGAATGGGGATGGGGTGAGGTGGGAATGGAATGGGAATGGGAATGGGGATGGGAATGGGGAATGGGGGTGGGAATGGGGTGGGAATGGGAGTGGGAATGGGAATGGGGAATGGGATGGGATGGGAATGGGAGTGGGGGAATGGGAATGGGGATGGGAGTGGGAATGGGAATGGGAATGGGGGATGGGAATGGGAGTGGGAGAATGGGAATGGGGTGGGAATGGGGATGGGATGGATGGGAATGGGAATGAGGGATGGGAATGGGATGGGAATGGGAGTGGGAATGGGGATGGGAATGGGGTGGGAATGGGAATGGGAATGGGATGGGAATGGGAATGGGAATGGGGATGGGTGGGAATGGAGGGAATGGGAATGGGAATGGGAATGGGGATGGGAATGGGAGTGGGAATGGGAGTGGAATGGGATGGAATGGGATGGGAATGGGGATGGAATGGGAATGGGAATGGGATGGGATGGGAATGGGAGTGGGAATGGAGGTGGAATGAATGGGATGGGGATGGGAGTGGGGGTGGGAATGGGATGGGAGATGGAATGGGGTGGGAATGGGAATGGGGTGGGATGAGAATGGAATAGGGTGGGAGTGGGAGTGGGAATGGGAATGGGAATGGAGGTGGGTGGAATGGGGTGGAATGATGGAATGGGAATGGGAATGAGAATGGAATGGGGTGGGGAATGGGGTGGAATGGGAGTGAGGACTGGGGGTGGGAATGGGTGATGGGAATGGGAATGGGAGTGGGGTGGGAATGGGATGGAATGGGGATGGGAATGGGGGTGGGAATGGAATGGGAATGGGGTGGGAACGGAATGGGGGTGGGAATGGGAGTGGGATGAGTGGGAATGGGATGGGGGTGGGAATGAATGGGGTGGGTGGAATGGGAGGGTGGAATGGGAGTGGGAATGGGAGGAGTTGGAGGAGCAGGGAATGGCAGCCTGAGCACCTGGAGGCACTGGGGAGAGCTGGGAAAACTGGGAGAGCTGGGAAATCTGGGAAATCTGGGAGCCCTGGAGACTTTTGGAGACCTTGGGGAGACTTTGGAAAACAGGGAAAGCTGGGAAATCTGGGAGACCTGGGGAGACTTTTGGACAACTGGGAGACTTTTGGAGACTTTGGAGACCTTGGAAAACTGGGAGACCTGGGAGATTTTATCCCACTCCCTCCCAATTTCCTGGGAATTTAATCCCGACCCCTCCCAGGGGATTTAATCCCGACCCCTCCCCCGCGGCTGGAGTTTGGAGGCAGGGCCGGGATGAGGCAATCCCGAATTCCATCGGCTGTGCCGGGACCTGCCCGGGGCCGGGCCTTGTTTTCCTTGTTTTCCTTGGAGAAACCTCCCCGGGAGAGGAGGAGCAGCCCCTTTTCCCGGCTGGAATTCCCTCGGGGGGGGGGGTTGGGATGAGCCGGGATACCCCGTTTAGGCGCGGGGTTTAAGCCGGGCTCGATCCCGGTGGGTTTTTCTTTTTTTCCCTGGAATTTTTGCCGGGATGGGGCCGATCCCGCCCGGGGCTCCCCCTGGAGACGCTGCCAGGTTTGGTTAAGCCGAGTTTAACTCCGGGTTTAACTGAGCAAGGGGGGGTTTAGGCTGAACTTCCCAGCCTGGCCAGGCAGGATCGAGGCCTTGGGAGGGCTCCTGGGAACAGGGAGAGTGTCCTGATCCCGAAAATCAGATCTGGCCTGGATAAAACCGGATCTGTCCTCTCTAAAACCAGATCTGTCCTGGCTAAAATCGGATCTGTCCTTGATAAACTGATCTGCTGGCTAAAATCGGATCTGTCCTGGCTAAAACCAGACCTGTCCTCGCTAAAAGCAGGTCTGTAGTCCCCAAAACCCGCACCTGTCATCCCCAAAACCAGCCCTAAAATCCCTAAATCCGGATTTATCCTCCCTAAAACCAGACCTACCCTCCCCAAAATCAGATTTATCCCCCCTAAAACCAGATCTACCCTCTATAAATGATATTAAACACCCCTAAAACCAGACCCATCACCCCTAAACCTGCACCTGTCCCCCCTAAGCGAGACCAAACACCCCCAAAACCAGACCTGCCACCCCTAAAATCAGATTTATCCCCCCTAAACCTGCACCTGTCCCCCCTAAATGAGACCAAACACCCCTAAAATCAGACCTGTCCTCTCCAAAATCAGATTTATCCCCCCTAAAACCAGACCTGCCCTCCCCAAAATCAGATTTATCCTCCCCAAAACCAGCCCTGTCCTCCCCTAAATGAGACCAAACACCCCCAAAACCAGCCCTGCCCTCCCCAAAATCAGATTTATCCTCCCTAAAACCCGACCTGCCCTCCCCAAAATCAGATTTATCCTCCCTAAACCCACACCTGTCCCCCCTAAACGAGACCAAACACCCCTAAAACCAGCCCTGCCCTCCCCAAAATCAGATTTATGCCCCCTAAAACCAGACCTGTCACCCCTAAACCTGCACCTGTCCCCCTCAAAACCAGATTTATCCTCCCTAAAACCAAACCTGCCCTCTCTAAACGAGACCAAACACCCCCAAAACCAGACCTGCCCTCCTCAAAAATCAGATTTATCCTCCCTAAAACCAGACCTGCCCTCCCCAAAATCAGATTTATCCTCCCTAAACCCGCACCTGTCCTCCTTAAACGAGACCAAACACTCCTTTAAACCCGACCTATCACTTCCTAAACTCCACTCTGTCCCTCTAAACGAGAACAAACACTTTAAACTAGCTCCTGTCTCCTTCCCAAATCAGATTTATGCCTCTAAATCCACACCTGTCCCCCCTAAACGAGACCAAACACCCCCAAACCCAGCCCTGCCCTCCCCAAAAATCAGATTTATCCTCCCCAAAACCAGCCCTGCCCTCCCCAAAAATCAGATTTATCCTCCCTAAAACCAGCCCTGCCCTCCCCAAAAATCAGATTTATCCTCCCTAAACCAGATCTGTCCTCCTTAACTGAGACCTAAAACCAGACCTATCCCCCCTAAACCCGCACCTGTCCCCCCTAAACGAGAACAAACACCCCTAAAACCAGCCCTGCCCTCCCCAAAAATCAGATTTATCCCCCCTAAAACCACACCTGTCCCCCCTAAACGAGACCAAACACCCCTAAAACCCGACCCATCACCCCTAAACCCGCACCTGTCCCCCCTAAACGAGAACAAACACCCCCAAAATCAGCCCTGCCCTCCCCTAAAATCAGATTTATCCCCCCTAAAACCAGACCTGTCCCCCCTAAATGAGACCAAACACCCCCAAAACCCGACCTGCCCTCCCTAAAACCAGACCTGCCCTCCCTAAAACCAGATTTATCGTCCCTAAAACCAGACCTGCCCTCCCTAAAACCAGCCCTGCCCTCCCCAAAATCAGATTTCCTCCCTAAAACCAGACCTGTCCCCCCTAAACGAGACCAAACACCCCCAAAACCAGCCCTGCCCTCCCCAAAAATCAGATTTATCCTCCCTAAACCCAGACCTATCCCCCCTAAACCCGCACCTGTCCCCCTCAAAACCAGATTTATCCTCCCTAAAACCAAACCTGCCCTCCCTAAACGAGACCAAACACACCCAAAACCAGCCCTGCCCTCCCCAAAAATCAGATTTATCCTCCCTAAACCCAGACCTGTCCCCCCTAAACGAGACCAAACACCCCCAAACCCAGCCCTGCCCTCCCCAAAAATCAGATTTATCCCCCCTAAACCCGGCCCGGCCCCGGCTCTGCCGCTCGCACCTTCTCGATGAGCGTCACGAAGTGGTTGTTGAGCTCTTTGATCTCGTCCTTCTCCCTCCGCCGCAGCTCCCGCAGCTCGGGCTCGACCTCCCGGCTCGGGGGGTCCCTCAGGAGCGGCCCCAATTTAGGGGGGCTCTCGGGGGTCCCCCCAAATCCGGCCGGGTCCCGGCTCATCCCTTGGGAAGAGCTCCCCAGGGAGCCGCTGGAAAAGGCCGAGCTGGGGTTCGTCATTCCCGGGATTGGGAATGAGGGGGGGAAGGAAAATAAAAATTAGGGGAAAAATAAAATAAAATAAAATTAAAATCCACCACCACCACCACAACAACAAGAAGAGAGGGATGGATTTTTGGGAGGGGAGGGAATTCCAGAGGCGGCCGAGCCCCTGGGCCGGGCAGGGCGGGGATACCCGCGGGGAGATCCCGATCCCGATCCCTCCTCCGCTCCTCCTTCCCTCCCTCCCTTCTCCCTCCTCCCCTCGGGAGCCGCTCTGGGAATGAGGAGGCTCCCAAATCCCAGCGGATCCCGGCGAATCCCAGCTGAGGCGCGCGGGAGCTGCTGCTGCGCGTCCAGAGGGGAGGAGAGAGGGGAGGGAAGAGGGAAAAACTCCCGGAGCTGCGGGAGGGACGGACACCCTGCCCTGCTTTAGTCCTTTTCCTTTCCTTCCTTTTCCTTCCCTCCTTTCCCTCCTTTCCCCCTCTTCTTTTCTTTCCCCTCTTTTCCTTCCCCTCTTTTCCTTCCCTCCTTTTCCTTCTCTCCTTTCCCCCCCTCCTTTTCCTTCCCTCCTTTTCCCTCTCTTTTCTTTCCCTACTTTTCCTTCCCTACTTTTTCTTCCCTCCTTTTTTCCTCCTTTTCTTTCCCTCTCCTTTTCTCTTCCTCTTTCCCTTTTCTCTTTTCTTCCCTTTCCTTTACCTTCCCTCCCTTTTTCTTTCCCCTCCTTTTCCTTCCTTTCCCTCTTCCTATTTTCCTTCCCTCCTCTACCTTCCCTTCTTTTCCCCCCTCTTTTCTTTCCCTCTTTTTTTCTCCTTTTCCCCTCCTTTTCTCCTTTTTCTTTCCCTCCTTTTATTTCCTTCCTTTTCTTCCCCTCCTTTTCTCCTCCTATTCTTTCCCTCCTTTCCCTTCCCTCCTTTTCTTTCCCTCCTTTTTTTTCCCTCCTTTTCTCCTCCAATTCTTTCCCTCCTTTCCCCCTCCCCCTTTTTCTTTCCCTCCTTTTCTTCCCCTACTTTTCCTTCCCTCTTTTTTCCTCCCTTTTCCCCCTCTTTTCTTTCCCTCCTTTTCTTTCCCTCCTTTTTCTTCCCTCCTTTTTACCTTCCCTCCTTTTTCTTCCCTCCTTTTCTTTCCCTACTTTTCCTTCTCTTCCTTTTCCTCCCCTCCTTTTTCTTCCCTTTTTTCCCTCCCTCCTTTTTTCCCCTCTTTTCTTTCCCTTCCCTCCTTTTCCCCTCCTCTTTTCTTCCCCTCCTTTTTTCCTTCCCTCTTTTTTTTCCTCCTTTTCCCCCCTTTTTTCTTTCCCTCCTTTTCTTCCCCTACTTTTCCTTCCCTCTTTTTTTTCCTCCTTTTTCTTCCCTCCTTTTCTTTCCCTCCTTTCCCTTCCCTCCTTTTTCCTTCCCTCCTTTTTTCCTCCTTTTCTTTCCCTCCTTTCCCTTCCCTCCTTTTTTTCCCCTCCTTTTTTTCCTCCTATTCTTTCCCTCCTTTTCCCCCCCTCTTTTCTTCCCCTCCTTTTTTCCTTCCCTCCTTTTTTCTTCCTTTTCCTTCCCTCCTTTTCTTTCCCTACTTTCCCTTCCCTCCTTTTCTTTCCTTCCTTTTCTTCCCCTCCTTTTCCTTCCCTCTTTTTTTCCTCCTTTCCCCCCCTCTTTTCTTCCCCTCCTTTTCCTTCCCTCATTTTCCCCCTCTTTTCTTTCCCTCCTTTTTCTTCCCTCCTTTTTTCCTTCCCTCCTCTTTTCCTTCCCTCCTCTTTTCCTTCCCTCCTTTACCTTCCCTTCTTTTTCCCCCTCTTTTCTTTCCCTCTTTTTTTCTCCTTTCCACCTCCTTTTCTCCTCTTTTCTTTCCCTCCTTCCCTTCCTCTTCCTTCTTTTTCCCCTCCTCTTTTCCCTCTCTCTCCTTTCTCCTTCCTTTCCTTCCCCTTTTTTCTTTCCCTCCTTTTCTTCCCCTACTTTTCTTTCCCTCTTTTTTTTCCTCCTTTTTCTTCCCTCCTTTTCTTTCCCTCTTTTCCCTTCCCTCCTTTTTCCTTCCCTCCTTTTTTCCTCCTTTTCTTTCCCTCCTTTTTTTCCTCCTTTCCCCCTTCTTTTCTTTCCTTTCTTTTCCTTCCTTCCTTTTCCTCCCTCCTTTTCCTTCCCTCCTTTCCCCCCCCTTTTTCTTTCCCTCCTTTTCTTCCACTACTTTTCCTTCCCTCCTTTTCCTTCCCTCTTTTTTCCCCTCCTTTTCCTTCCCTCTTTTTTTCCTCCTTTCCCCCCCTCTTTTCCTTCCCTCCTTTTCCTTCCCTCCTTTTCCTTCCCTCTTTTTTCCCCTCCTTTTCCTTCCCTCTTTTTTTCCTCCTTTCCCCCCCTCTTTTCCTTCCCTCCTTTTCCTTCCCTCCTTTTCTTCCCCCCCTCACAATTAAATTCCCAACACCGGATCCAGCCCCTGAGGACAAAGAATTCCACCAAAGTGACCCCTCCCAGGGCAGAACATCCCAAAAAAAATCCCCTCTCCAGGTCCTGGAATCTCCCAAGATGGAATGAATCCATCGGGATCCTCCAGTCCAACCCCCAGGAATGCTCAGATCCCTCTGGAAACCTCCCTGGGTGCCTCCTGAGTCCCCCTTCCCCTCATCCAGGCTGGATTCCGGGATCCCCCTGGGATTTTGGGAGCTGTCCCTGCCCCTGGAAAGCGGGAATGGGATGAGCTTGGAAGTCCTTTCCACACCCAAACCATTCCAGGATGGGATGTTGGATCATCCCGGCCCGGGAAGGAGCAGAAGGGCGAGGCTTTGGGGTTGAAAACTACCTGGAATTCTGGGGGGAAAACAGGTGGAAAACTGGGAGGGGGCTGGAGAAGGGAGGACAAATCCAAATCCTGTTGGAGAAGGGAGAACAAATCCAATCCCTCCTGGAAAAGGGAGGGCAAATCCAACCCCTGCTGGAAAAGGGAGGACAAATCCAAGCCCTGATGAAAATGGGAGGACAAATCCAACCTCTCCTGGAAAAGGGAGGACAAATCCAGCCCTTGCCCAAAAAGGGAGGAGAAATCCAAGCCCCTGCTGGAAAAGGGAGGACAAATCCAAACTCTCTGAAAAGGGGAGGACAAATCCAACCCTTGCCCAAAAAAGGAAGACAAATCCAACCTCTCTGAAAAAGGGAGGGCAAATCCAACCCCTGATGAAAAAAAGGAGGACAAATCCAACCCCTGCCCAAAAAGGGAAGACAAAATCCAGCCCCTTCTGGAAAAGGGAGGACAAATCCAACCCCTGCTGGAAAAGGGAGGACAAATCCAATCCCTGATGGAAAAGGGAGGACAAATCCAGTTCCTGTTGGAGAAGGGAGGACAAATCCAACCCCTCCTGAAAAAAGGAAGACAAATCCAACCTCTCTGAAAAAGGGAGGACAAATCCAACCCTTGCCCAAAAAGGGAGGACAAATCCAACCCCTCCTGGAAAAGGGAGGACAAATCCAATTCCTGTTGGAGAAGGGAGGGCAAATCCAACCCCTCCTGAAAAAGGGAGGGCAAATCCAACCCCTGATGGAAAAAGGAGGGCAAATCCAGCCCCTGCTGGAAAAGAGAGGACAAATCCAACACCTCCAAAAAAGGGGGAACAAATCCAACCCTTGCCCAAAAAAGGAAGACAAATCCAACCTCTCTGAAAAAGGGAGGGCAAATCCAACACCTGATGGAAAAGGGAAGACAAATCCAGCCCCTGCCAGAGCAGGGAGGACAAATCCAGGCGGGCCCTGCCCTGGGAGAGGCTGAGCTGACTCAGCCCTTCGTGCCTTTCCTGCTCCTCCCCTCCCAGGAATTCGGGGCCGGGCTCCAAAGCCGGACCGGGCACTTCGGGCCCTTCCTGGGTGTGCAGGCCCTGGAAAAGGCTCTGAGCTCTCCCTGGATCCTTCCCCTTCTCCAGGGGAACATTCCCAGCTCTCCCAGCCTGGCTCCGGAATTGGGGAATCCTGGAATGGGTGGGGTTGGAGGGACCTTAAATCCCATCCAGTCCCACCCTGGACACCCCCCCACCATCCCAGGGGGATCCAGCCTGGATTTGGACGCTCCCAGGGATGGGGAATCCTCTGGGAATTCCATCCCAGCCCCTCCCCACCCTCCCAGCCAGGATCCAGGGAGAGTTTGGGATCCCCTTCCAGTTCCTGAGGGCGCTCCAGGAGAGCTGGAGAGGGATTTGGGGATTTGGGATGGAGGGACAGCACACAGGGAATGGCTTCCCGCTGGGAAAGGGGGGAGTTAGGTGGGATATTGGGAAGGAATTCCTGGCTGGAATGGGTTTCCCAGAGAAGCTGTGGCTGCCCCTGGATCCCTGGGACCATCCCAGAGCCCGCTGGGATGGTGGGAGTTTTTCCCTGCCCGTGGAAAGGTGGGAATGGGAGGATTTTTAACGCCCCTTCCCGCCCAAATCATTCCATAAATCCCTGATTCCCGCGTGTTCCCGGTCATCCCCCACCCCCCGGGAAGCCGCAGATTCCCAATTCCCATCTGGGAGGCGCCTCCTCCTTTTATCCCAACCCTCTGGAAGGAGCCGCGTTGGGAGAATCCCGGGAGGATTTTATTGCCCAAGGCGCTTCCCGAGCCACATTCCAGCAATTCCCATCCGATCCCGGCAATTCCCGAGCCACATTCCAGCAATTCCCACCCCGATCCCGGCAATTCCCACCCCGATCCCGGCACTTCCCGAGCCACATTCCAGCAATCCCCCCCCGATCCCGGCAATTCCCACCCGATCCCGGCGCTTCCCGAGCCACATTCCAGCAATTCCCCCCCGATCCCGGCGCTTCCCGAGCCACATTCCAGCAATTCCCCTGATCCCGCAATTCCCATCCGATCCCTGCAATTCCTATCCGATCCTGGCAATTCCCGAGCCACATTCCAGCAATTCCCACCCCGATCCCGGCAATTCGATCCCGAGCGCTTCCGAGCCCCATTCCAGCAATTCCACCCCGATCCGGCGCTTCCGAGCCACATTCCAGCATTCCCCCGATCCCGGCGCTTCCCGAGCCACATTCCAGCATCATTCCCCCCGATCCCGGCGCTCCGGA